AAGATGAGAAAAGCATCAGGGTGGGCTGTCTGCTGCTCACTGATGTGCTGGTACAGTTCATTTAGTGCCTCGCTCCTGTTGCTGTTGTTGGAGCTGGGAGTGATGTATACAGCAACGAGCAGTATGGCTGTATATTCCCTCGGTAGATAGAACGGCCGGCACTTAATAATCATAAACCCCCCCAGGGGAGAGCAGTGTTTGCAGACCACAACAGCATCGCGGCACCACGAATCATTGATGTAAACACAAAGCCCGCCGCCACAGGTCTTACCTCCCTCGACGAGAACTCTGTCCGCGCGATAGCATGTTAGCTGGTTGAGCTGAATGGCGCAGTCCGGTACGCTGTTGCTGAGCCATGTTTCGGTGAACACAAAAACACAACAGTCTCTTACAGTCCTCTGAGTTGAGCGTAGTAGTTGGATGTAGTCCAGTTTATTGTCCAAAGAGCGTACGTTAGCCAGTACAATGGTGGGGATAGTTGGCTTGTGTGGGTTAGCCGCTAGCCTAGCCCGGATACCTCCGCGCTTGCCCCTCTTCTGCTTCCTCTCACGCCGCTTGTGGCGCCTCCGCAGAGTTTAACTCTAAAAATGTGGTTCTGCCGAAATTGAGCAGAAACTCACGACTGTATGCGCGCTTAAAGATAGGTAGACGCGACGAAGACGTACAAAAACACTGCGACTCAAAAAACACAAAAACAAAAAACACGAAAACACCGTTCTGACGGGAGAGAGAGAAGCCATAGCGTGTGCATGCGCCGCCATCTTGTTTTTTTTTGTTTGCTGGTAATTTTTCTATTTGCATGTGTTTTCTGAAGTTGAAACGCGTTGAGCTCTCTCTCGGCCACTGTAGCAATCACTTTACATTTCTCAATTTTTTTAATGATTTAATTATATTGTAACCTTTTTTTTACTTTAATTTCAGGTCTAATGGAGGAGAAAAAACATCATGTCAAAACTAGAGGAAAAACTCACTCACAGACTGAAAGTATTTCTTTACTGAAAAGAAGAGACAAGAAAAGTTCACCTGCACTCAGTATGGAAAGAGTTTCACATGCAAACCGAGTCTCAAGAGACACATGAGGATCCACACTGGAGAGAAACAATTTACATGTAATCAGTGTGAGAAGAGCTTCACACAATCATCAACCCTTAAGAGACACATGAACATCCACACTGGAGAGAAACTGTATGAATGTTATCAATGTGGAAAAACATTTTTGTGGGCTTTAAGCCTGAATAAACACCTGAAAGTTCATTCAAAGGAGAAACCACATTCATGTTCTTTATGTGGAAAGAGTTTTTCAGAACTGCAAAGTTTGCAGAGTTTTCAGAAGATACACACTGGTGTGAGAGATCATGTGTGCTTTGAGTGTGAGAAGACTTTTATGACTTTTATTCAATTGAAACTGCACCAGAGGATCCACACTGGAAAGAAACCTTACAAGTGTTCACACTGCGACAAGAGATTCAGTCGGTCAGCACATCTGAAATCACACGAGAGGATCCACACTGGAGAGAAACCGTATCACTGCACTTGTTGAGGAAAATATGCAATTGTCTTATAAAAAGGCAAACTTGCAATATGTAATACCTTTGTATTATATCCGCATATATTGTAATCGTTTTTATTTGGAAAGTGGTTTATTAAGAAAGACACCATACGTTATTGTAATTGTTGTTTTAAAGCATTTATTGAGCAAATATTTTTAGCATATATTAGCAAAAGTAAAGCTAGAAATGAAACATGTATTAGTAAGAGCTTTGCTAAAGAAAAATGAAGAACATTTTTTTTTATAAACGGTGATTGGAATTACCTAAGGCGCAAACTTACAAAGAACATTAAAAGTAGTCTTCCGGACGGCTCTTTGATTGATGCTGCGTGCGTGTACACGAGAGATGGCGGTGAATGCATATCACAGTCTGGATGCAATTAACTCAGCGGAAAGGTTGGGATCATTTGTTCGTACTATCGATGACATCAGTCTTATGTTTGCTTAAACTGAAGCAAGGCAAACAGTGTCACTTACGTACTTCTCATGTTTTGTCGCCAAGATGTCCGGGGAGGTTTTTAATGGACATTTCACTTGCATTGCTGGGTTAGTCTGTATATTTCATATTTATTGTACAGCACTTTTCACAATACATTTTTGTATGCATTTCACTGCAGCTTTACAAAACATGCATGTATATTACAATGCTAAATGAATGCTAGGATACTAATCAATACATGCTATTATTACTGATTTCATTCGTTTCAAAATGTGTGCTTAGTTAGGACAAGTTTGTTGCTGTGGAACAGTGCGAGAATTCATTTGAATGTTCTATCTGAGCCATCATGTGGTCACAAATAAACAAGATGAATGCAATTCAATGCTGGCTACCACGTTTTGCATGAACCTGTATTAGTTTTTTTTAAGATAAAAGTATAGCCTACATGCAGATTAATAAATGCACACACACTACATACAGTATATATGTGGGTATGTATGTTTTTATGCATTTACTGTAAACGCTCATACACATACAGAAGTACTGGTCAAAAGTATGGGCACTGTTACTATTTTTTATGTGTTTGAAAGAATTCTCCTATGCTCATCAAGCCTGCATTTAATTGATCAAAAATACAGACAAAAACAGTAATATTTTGCAATATTAATACAATTTAAACTAATGGTTTCTTATTTTAACCCATTTAATCCCACCGTAATAAAAAGGATCTCATTTCTAAAGCTCTAAAAAAACATACTGACTAATGTTTTAGTGCACTTCCTGCAAATATGGAAAAAATAAATGGTCTCAATTAAATATGTGCAGTTTCTCATGATTAGTGCAAATTGTCACATGATCAAAGCAGTTTAATTCCTGTTTGCACCTTGAGAAGATGATGACTGCATCAAAGCTCCAAAATGAAAGGCTAGTAAAGTATGTTAACATAAAGATATGACAAAGACTTTTGATCATATTAAACAAAAATTATTGTTTAATACATCAGTACATGTTGGAATTAACATTAGACAAGCATAATAAGTGATGAAAAATGTTTACCGTTAGCTTTTGTAAATTACTGCAGTTAACGGTTTCACTCTTCAACATTCAAGTTTGCAGTATACATTTCTATAACGTTTACTCGCTGCATTTATCTGCTGACAAGATAGCTAGACAACTAATGTGAACTCATATTTAATTATAGCCCACATAAGGCTTGGCAATAAAACGGAAATAAAAGCTTGGCCTTTTTCACTAAACAAGAATCAAACCGCTAGGCGCATATGTAAACAATGACAAAAGCACAATTTTGCACAATACTTGAAGAGTTAACGTAAATAAATACAAATAATCAAATGGAAAACAACAACATTTCCTTACCTGAATCGAAATGTGCGCTGTAGATCCAAGAGCTGCGAGTTGCGATTCTCTTCTCGCTTCACTGCTGCAATCCAGGCACGTTTCTTGGAAATCTAAACTTCACTCTTTAATTTCAGATTATTTATTAATTAATGTTAGTTCCAGGCCAGAGGGAGCACCCAACCCCCGAGCAACAAGGATCTAATTTTAATAAAAAAAATTTAAACAGCAGGATTAAATAAATTATCGTAATCCCACTGTGCATCAAGCACCTGCCGCCATTGTTTTTGAATGCGCTCAAACACTAACCGGAAACGTCCAAGGAACAAAGACGTCACTTCCTTAAACCGCCGAATATCCGTTGAAATGGCCCATAGGGGTGGACAAATCTAAAACAGTTTCACATGCAAACCGAGTCTCAAGAGACACATGAGAATCCACACTGGAGAGAAACCGTTTACATGTGATCAGTGTGAGAAGAGTTTCACACAGTCATCAACCCTTAAGAGACACATGAATATCCACACTGGAGAGAAACTGTATGAATGTTATCAATGTGGAAAAACATTTTTGTGGGCTTTAAGCCTGAATAAATACCTGAAAGTTCATTCAAAGGAGAAACCACATTC